CCTAACAAATGGGGCAATGTCATTCTTTCTGATGGAGGCATAGAATTCCATTGTGTATATATACCACATTTTCTTGATCCATTCATCTACTGAGGGGCATCTGGGTTGGTTCCATATCTTAGCTTAGTCTGTTTTTTGTTTTTTTGTGGTTTTTTTTTTGGTCAGTTGTGGGGCTTGAACTCAGGGCCTGGGTGCTGTCCCTCAGCTTTTTTGTTCAAGGCTAGTGCTCTACCACTTTGAACCACAGTGTTACTTCCTCCCTTTCATTTTATTTGTTTAGCAGTGGTACAGATGGACTGATGGCTTTTTACATGCTAGGCAAGACATACCACTGATGGCAAGCCAGATGCCTAACACCCTCCCTTTTTATTGTTACCAGTCCTGGAGCTTGTACTCAGACTCTAGGTACTGTCCCTTAACTTTTTTACTCAAGACTAGTGCTCTAGTCTTGAGTAAAAGCCACAGCTCCATTTCTGGCTTTTTGCTTGTTAACTAAAAGTAAGAGTCTCACAGACTTTCCTCCCTGAGCTGGCTTTGAACCATCCTCAGATCTCAGCCTCCTAAGTAGCTAAAATTATAGGCATGAGTCCACCAGTGCCTGTCTCTCTTTATTTTATTTATTCATTTATTTATTTATTGCCAGTCCTGGGACTTGGACACTATCCCTGAGCTTCTTTTGCTCAAGGTTAGCACTCTACTACCTGAGCCACAGCGCCACTTCCGACTTATTTTGTTTATTTGGTACTGAGGAATCAAACCCAGGGCTTCATGCATGCTAGGCAAGCACTCTACCACTAAGCAACATTTCCAGCCCCTCCTCTTTATTTGAAAAGAATAATTTCTAAGTCCTGAGTTCAGTCCCTAGTACTGTAAACAAATAAATATGAAAGGACAGGTTTCCTAACTTGTGCCTCTTTGGGCTTAAATGTCCTCAGCTATGAGAAGGATTTGGGGGTTCTCCAGGTTTGGTGAGTCCATTTTTCCTCAAACCTGAGGCCCTATCCTAGTTCTCTGGCATCTGGGGTGGTTTGTCTTTCGACCCCAGCAATCTCCTCCTGCCCCAGTTCTGGAGAAGAGAAGCCTCGGGGTTCCTCTGACTGAAACAAGGACAGAGTTTCTGTCTTGGGGCTTTTGGGATGTCATGGACTCCCCCAATGCTAGCAATGGGGTCCCAACCCCTTACTCTCTACTTCCAGGGAAGAAGAAATCTCCATCATCCCCATCTCTGGGCAGTTTACAGCAGCGCGATGGAGCCAAGGCTGAAGTTGGAGACCAGGTCCTCGTGGCAGGCCAGAAGCAGGGAACCGTGCGCTTCTATGGGAAGACAGACTTTGCCCCAGGTGAGTTTGAGCACTCTGGGCTGGGGCAGGCAGTGTCTTGGGGCATTCTGACACTCCCTCTGCCTCCCCCCATGGCTGCTTCAGGGTACTGGTATGGCATTGAACTGGATCAGCCCACGGGCAAGCATGATGGTTCTGTCTTTGGCGTCCGGTACTTCACCTGTCCCCCACGGCATGGGGTCTTTGCACCAGCATCTCGTATCCAGAGGTGAGCCCAAACTGTGACCTTTCACCCAGGAAGCAACTCAGAGCCCTGGTCCACCCTCCCTAGACTGACTGATCGGTGTGGTTGCCCTCCTACCCCCATCCTAGCTCTTTCCTCCAGGCTGTCTGGGGGATGCAGCTCCCAGCAGACTTTGGCCTCTTGTGACTCTTGATTTCTCCCTGTGTCTCCCCAGGATTGGTGGATCCACTGATCCCCCTGGGGACAGTACTGGAGCCAAAAAAGTGCATCAAGTAACAAGTGAGTTGGGGCCGGGATGTGGGGAGGCGCGTAGGGCAAGATGAGAGAAGGGTTGTAGGCTTTCAGGTATATGCAGGTGATCATTTCTGATATAACTGGGGACACAGGGCCCAGAAAACTGAGACAGGGTCCTAAAGAGGAAAGGTGCTTTGAGAGAAGGGACGTGAACAGCAAGGGCCTGAGGGTTGGAGTATGGCTTAGTGGTAGAGCACTAACCTAGCACACATGAGTCTCTGAGTTCCAAACAAAAATTAAGGATCTGAAAGCCAGGTGCCAGTGGCTCACACTTGTAACCCTAGCTACTCAAGAGACTGCGATCTGAGGATTGCTAGGGCAAGAAAGCCTTGACCCTCTTATCTCCAATTAACTACCCAAAAAATCGAGAATTGGAGCTGTGGCTCAAGCGGTAGAGTGCTTGCCTTGAGCAAAAAAGCTCAGGGTCACCACCCAGGCCCTGAGTTGAAGCCATAGGTCCAGCACAAAAAATAAAATAAGGCTCTGAGCAGACACTGGCGATGGACATTGACTGCTGAGAACATAGGTAGATATGAATTGGGGAACACAATGAATATTACTGACAATAGGTCCAGGGGGGTATTGGGAATGATAAGGGATCTAGGTGGGTCCTGGCGACATGGAAAGTTATTAATGAACAAAGAATCCAGGTGGGTGTTGGAAACACAAATGGATCTATTATCCCCTCACCTGAGATCCTGCCTTCCTCTCTTCAGTGACGCAGCCCAAACGCACCTTCACAACAGTCCGGACCCCAAAGGACATTGCATCAGAGAATTCTATCTCCAGGTATGTGGTGACCACTGTGGTTATCAGGGAGAGGCAAGGCCAAGGCCACTGGACACAGGGATTAAAGCTGTAGTTGGAGGTGAAAATAGAAGCTAAGAAAAGTTGTGGCTAAGCCTTGTATGCATGAGGCCCTGGGTTCAATTCCTCAGCACCACATAAGTAGAAAAAAAAAAACAGGAAGTGGCTCTGTGGCTCAAGTGGTAGAGTGCTAGCCTTGTGAAGAGCTGAGGGACAGCGCCCAGGCCCAGAGTTCAGGCCCACGACCAACCCAAAAAATAAAATAAAATAAAGAAAAGTTGTGGCTAAGCTAAGCATTTATGGCTCATGCCTGTAATCCTAACTACTCAGGAGGCTGAGATCTAAGGATGCTGGTTCAAAGCCAGCCCAGGCAGAAATGTCCATGAGACTTTATCTCTTTATCTCCAATAAACCAGATAAAAGCCAGAACTGGAGCTGTGGCTCAAGTCATAGAGTGCCAATCTTGAGCAAAACACGTGTAGGGACAATGCCCAGGCCCTAAGTTCACACACACACACACACACACACACACACACACACACACACAGAAAATAAATGGTGGGAAGGTAGCTTAGGGTAGAGTGCTTGCCTACCATGCATGAAGCCCTGGGTTCGATTCCTCAGTACCACATAAACAGGAAAAGCCAGAAGTGGAGCTGTGGCTCAAGTGGTAGAGTGCTAACCTTGAGCAAAAGAAGCTCAGGGACAGTGCCCAGGCCCAGAGTTCAGGCCCCACGACCGGACCCCCCCCCCCAAAAAAAGGAAAGAAACGGCATGGTGGCTAAGCACATCCTGAAACAGGTGTTAGACCCAATGCTGACTTCTGATGACTCCAATGTTTTAGAGGGTGCAGGTAGCAGGAACTGTCTCAGAATGCACAGCCAGAGGCAGAATCCCAAACATGGAGGAGGGGGGGTGTTTCAGGGCAGCTATCCCTGAACCTCCTTACCAGTGTGACCCATTCTTCTCCTCAGGTTGCTCTTCTGCTGCTGGTTTCCGTGGATGCTGCGGGCCGAGATGCAGTCTTAGAGGCTCTGATTCCCAATGACACAGTCTCCTCTAGTGTTTCCTGATACCAGGAGCCCCCTACCCCCAGTCACCCTGAGATAGAGACCCCCATTAACACATCCAGAATAGAGACCCCCATTAGCCAGCCCTTCCTCACTGAGGTCCCATTATTAACAGGTTCCCCATTATAACTCCCCAATACTGTCATCCAGACAGAAATTCCCTGAGTAGCACCTTCAGGTTAGTCCCTGTCCCCAGCCCTTCTGAGCAGACACCCACCCCTCCCCCCATTAACAGATTTCCATTCTTCCCCAAGTGAGGGTGACCCTGTTCACATAATGTTCTACAACAGGACCTTCTTGAGTCATTCAGTGGACCAGAAATCTCCATTAACAAAGACCCCCCTGCCTCTGTTCCCCTTGAAATGAACATAGGTCACACCTTCAGAGTAATTGATCATGTCACTATCCCAACTTAACATCAGTCCCCTCAAGATGTCATGACCCCATGGTCACCCCAAAACCTTTGCTTTCCAATTCTCCTATCAGAGACTCTCCATTAACAAAGACCCCCCATACCTATCCCTCAAGAAGAGACCCACTTTAACCAGCCCTGTTACCCCCAATTTACAGGCACCAAAAGAGTCCTGGAAGTGCTAATTACAGGACCCCCAAGTCTTCCTACCCTCTATGCCCTCAAGAAACCCCCAGTGCCTTGTATGAAGCCCACTTACAATGGCCCATGGCCTCTGTGCTGGCCAGGCTCCCAGAAATTTCTATTTTTTAATGACTTCCCCCTTTGGGGGACCCTAAAATTTGAAGACCCCCATTCTTGGACTCTGGAGATCCCAAACTCCAGAGTATACATGTCCCAATTTCTCCTGGACCTAAAGCCCTAAAGCTCCTAGAATACCCCAAATTTCATATTCCAGGACACCCTCAATCATAGAGACCCCTCAAATCCCCAGGGAAATCCCAAATTTAAAATACCAATCCCAGCCCCTCAGGTAACTTCACTCATGAGGTCCTTGTGCCTGGGATGGAGGCGGCTGCAGTGAGGGTATGCATTCCAGTCTTCCGAGGCACCTCAAGCCCTATTTGCAGGCACCAGGAGACCCCTAACATGAGTTCTCACCCCCTGATGCAATCTAGAGGACTTCAATACCCTGAGTCCATGGATCTCAAGAACCCCAAATTCAAAAAGCCCTAGTCCGCAGGGGACCCCAAATCCCAAAGTCTCCATTTCTCACACGTGGAGGGCCCTAAGTTCCTGGCGGGGGGTGGGTGGGAGGGGGAGGATCCCAAGTCTTGGAGCCCCCATTTTCAATCCACCTTCCGGTCCCAAGTCTGAGACACTAAATCTAAGTCATTGGCCCCAAAGGACCTCCTCACAGCACTTGGGCCAGACCAACAGCCTGAGGCCCCCTGGGTCCAGGGTGGACCTGGGGCCCTAACCACCAATGACAGCTCACGACTGCCCCTTCACTGCATGTCCCCAAACTCAGCATGACCCCTGTCCTCTTCAATAAAGACGTTTCTATGGCCTCTCGGTGTCAGGTCATTGGAGGTGGGATGACCTTGAACCTGTACCATTGTTGGAGGAGGATGAGAGAGGAAGGCCCTTCTTCAATCTCGCCTTCCTGGGTCATGGACGTTAAGGACGTGGAACGGCCTAATTGCGGGAAGTCTATCTTTCACTCTTGGTACTCCTCCTGCGGTCTCTGGGGTTGAAAGTCCCACCAGGGCCCACGCTGGTATAGGGGCGGGTTCGGTTCTGGAATTCTGATTGGTGTGTATCTAGCCGAAGACCCGCCCCTACTAGATCCCTAATGGCTGTGAGACTGGGAGGTGCAGCTTAACTCTTAGCTAAAATAAGGAGGCGGGACTGTACTCAGTGGGAACGTGGATTGGCCAGAAGGCGGAACCTTGCGGCTTCTGAGAGTTCTGGTTGGTTTATGCGCGCTTGCGTCAGTAACATGGGGCGGAAGTGCCTCCTAGTGGAGGTGGGGTGGGAGTAAGGGTGTTGAATCTGGAAATTGGAGGGGAGACGGTGGACGGTCAGTTTGGGGGAGTAACCGAGGGCAAAGATGAGTGTTCAAGAGGGCTGAGATTTGGGGTCTGGGGAAGCGCAGAGTCGGAGTTGGAGGGAGCTCTGTGTGAAATCCTCACAGACCCAGATGAGCGCCTGAAGGGTCCAGAGCGGGGTGATCCGAGGAGAGGCTCAGGTTGGGGTTAGCTGGGGCAGGCGATCGGACAGAGCCGAGTTCGGGGGAGGGTCGGGGAGGGGCTCTGAGAGCCGCGCGCAGGGCCGAGAGTGGGTCCCCAAGTTAAGGTGGGGGGCTTGCATGTGGAGACTTTGTGAAAGCCACCCTGCGGCGGGCTAGAGGAGAGGAGAAGGCAGATGTGTACTTTGGTGGCTCTAAGTGAACACAGATGTGGAGGAGCCTACTAGAACCCGCCTCCAGGGGGGACCTTGCGGGAGGGGGATCATGGCTTTTGAGACGCTGTGTTTGAGAGATCTGGGTCCTCCTAGGAGAGCTGAGGTGAAGCCGAGCCCTTAATGGATCAGAAGGCTGGATCACAGGATGGGAGATTTAGCGACTGCGGTCTGTCCTTCCTCTCCACAGGACTGTGCCATGGAGGAGCACGCCCGGGTCCCAGCCCTGGAACCATTCAGAGTGGAACAGGTTCTCAGGACTGGGGAGTGCAGAGGGTGAAGGGGGGGCGGCTAGAGAGAGGGACATGGGAGCGAGGTGGGATAGGCCAGGCTGACCCCTGGGTCCTTGGGTTGGAACTGCCTCCTTCTTCCAAATTCATTTGCACCTTCATAGTCCATTCCCATCCCCAACTCCACCCTTAAAATGGCCGTGGTTTCCTCCACTTAAGAATCTGGCCTGCCTGGGGCCATCCTGAGCTGTTCCAGAGAGAGAGGATGCTCAGAGATGAAAGGTCCCCTGTGTGGGTCAAAGGACCACATTGTCAGACTTTCTCCACCATAGGCACCACCTGTAATCTACTATGTCCCAGACTTCATCTCCAAGGAAGAGGAGGAGTATTTGCTTCGACAGGTGACCCCAATACTCTCCTCCACTGTTTCCCACCTCTTCCCATATTTCTCTCCAACCCAGTCCCTATATGAAAGCCCCATGGGTTTCAGAGAAAGACACCCCCCCCCGACACAATTAAGAATATGTAGGGCCAACCAGCAAGAGGGTGAAACCAAACTGATTCTTAAAAAGGAGGTGTTTAGTATGCAGTTCAGACTCTCTGTACTGAGATAGCCCAATTCAGCCTCCAGAATGAGGCTGTTACTGATAACAGATTAATTGGTACAGTCCAATGTACTAAAGCCTTGGGAACAAGGGAGTTACAGAGCTCTTACTCCTTATGTTGAGGTATCCCTTATCTGTATAAGCTGAGATAGTCCAGTTGAGATCCTTGAGATTGGAAAGTGAAGGATTCAATATTAAACTTACTGTGCCAAGACAGCCCCAGAATTAGTGTTACAGAGAAATCTTTTCTGTACTAAGACCCAGACTTAGAAACAAGATTACTGAGATGGCCAGTCCATATTCTGTTCTTAAAGTTTAAGAAACAAAGAATTTAGCTGGGCACTGGTGGCTCATGCCTGTAATCGTAGCTACTCAGGATGGTAAGATCTGAGGATCTCGGTTCAAAGCCAGCCTGAGCAAGGAAAGTCCGTGAGACTCTTATCTCCAATTAACTACCAGAAAACAGGAAGTGGTACTGTGGCTCACGTGGTAGGGTACTGGCCTAGAGTTGAAGAGCTGAGGACAGCGCCCAAGCCCAGAGTTCAAGCCTATGACTGACCAAAAAAAAAAAAAAAAGAAATAAATAAACAAACAAAGGAAGAATTTAGAAAGTTCTAAATTACAATACTGAGATAGCTCTTTGTATCTCAGAGCCTCGAGTTACAAAGCACAAATTTTCCTTGTGCTAGGCTTGCCTGCTTCACCTTGAGTCTCAAGGTCAAGTGATCTACACAACAGTCAATCTCTCTTTTTTTTTTTTTTGGGTCCGGTCGTGGGGCCTGAACTCTGGGCCTGGGCACTGTCTCTCAGCTCTTCAGCTCAAGGCTAGCTTGAACTCTGGGCCTGGGCACTGTCTCTCAGCTCTTCAGCTCAAGGCTAGCGCTCTACCACTTGAGCCACAGCGCCGCTACCACTTGAGCCACAGCGCCACTTCCGGCTTTTTTCTTTTTGCTTATGTGGTGCTGACGAATGGAACCCAGGGCCTCAGGCATGCAAGGCAAGCGCTCTACCACTGAGCTACTTTCCCAGCCCCAGAACAGTCAATCTCTTATGCTGAGATAGTTCCAGACTTTTGGATTAGGGGATTAAATAATGTATATATTTTAGCTGGACTGAAATACCCCAGGCCAGCCCTATAACCATTCTGAGAAGGAAACCAACAAACAAACAATAGGTTTCTTAGATTGAAATTGTCCATTCTAGACCCTAGGGATCTTGGCCGATTTTAAAGTATTTTCCTTGCTGTACTGTGATAGCCCAGCTTAGCATACTCATTCCTCAGTGCAACAGGAGCAAGGAGGTTCTAGAATTGAGATTATCCCACAATAACCCAGGAATCAAGAGAGTACAGACTGCTTTCTGGGCTTCAAGAACCTAGGCCTACCTGTATTCTGAGTAGATTCTGGTCAGGATTGAACACTGTGGTGTGGTCATAGAGGGCTTTGGGGCCAAAGGCCTTCCCAAGACAGAAAGCAGACAATGGCATCCTGGGAACACACTATCCTAATTTCCACCCCCTCCCCTCCCCCAGGTGAAGGTCCCTATGTGGCCTGGGTGGAGAATCCCAGAGGGGTGCTCTTTGAAACTGCTTCCCCATCTCCTAGGTATTCAATGCCCCAAAGCCAAAGTGGACCCAGCTCTCTGGGAGAAAGCTACAGAACTGGGGTGAGTGTCTCTGGCTAAGGCATGAGTGGTACTGAGATGTGTCTCAGGACACTAATGAGGGGTTCTTTAAGGGGTATCCGTGGGAGTCTTGAGGAGTTGGGAGTATCTCACAGGGCCCAGTGGTCCAGAGAAAGCAGAAAACCTTTTGAGGGGTCCAGTGACCATCTCCAAAGGGTTGAGGATCCTCAGGGGTCTGGTGTTTTCACCCACTGGGATATCCCTAATCTGGCACTCTGGGTGCCAGGGCTTTGTAGCTGGGTGCCCTGAGGACCCCCATTGCACTCTGCAGGTGGGCTTCCCCATCCTCGGGGGATGGTCCCTGAGAAACTACCTCCATGGCTCCAGCGCTACGTGGACAAAGTATCTGACCTCGGCCTTTTTGGGGGCCTCCCAGCCAACCATGTCCTTGTGAACCAATATCTGCCTGGGGAAGGCATTATGGTAACCACACACCCCTGCTCTGACCCCACGCTTATCACCCCTTTTTCAGAGAGAGCATTGCTCATTAAGCAGCGAGGCAATTCACCTCCCTTCCCAGCCTGGGAGCCCTCTTTGGGTCCAGAGGGTGGGGGGTTGGATTCCTGTCCTGCCCAGCTCTGGTGCCCCTTCCCAGCCCCATGAGGATGGACCACTGTACTACCCGACTGTCAGCACCATCAGCCTGGGCTCCCACACTGTGTTGGACTTCTATGAACCACGGCAGCCGGAGGATGATAATCCTATAAAACAGGTAGGGCCTGAGACACTGCCCTAAACCCTCGGGGCACCCTAATACTCCATCCCCCAGCATGACCTGATCCCTGTCTTTGAGATTATTCCTAAAACTCACACCCCTTTCTCTGTTCCCTTGTGGGCCACACCTTCTTCCTCTCAGACACCCAATTTGCTTACCGGGTATTCTACATGCTATGGTTTTCAGTTATCCAGCACTCTGCTTGTGTGTGGAGGCCCCAACACCCCACAGACCCTGTGACCTCACATAGTATTTGAATAGCCTGAGTTTCATACATACCCCATGCAGGGCTCCCAGTACCTCAACATAGATTCTCTGTCTCTTTTGTGCCTGGGGCTTGAACTCAGAGCTTGGGCTCTTCTTTTGCTCAAGGCTAGTGCTCTACAGCTTGAGCCACAGTTCCACTTCCAGATTTTGGTAGGTTAGTCGGAGATATGGTCTCACAGGCTGGGTGTCGGCTCACACCTGTCATTCCTAGCCGCTCAGGAGGCTGAGATCTGAGTTCAAAGCCAGTTTGGGCAGGAAAGTCTATGAGTCTTCTATCCAATGAACCACTAGAAAAACGGAAGTGGCGCTGTGGTTCAAAGTGGTAAAGTGCTTGGCTTGAGCAAAAGAGTTTAGAGACACTCCCCACTACCCTTACAATCCCCTCCCACCCCCCTCCCCCGCAAAAAAAAAGTGTCTCCTGGATTGTCCTGCCTGGGCTGGCATCGAACTTTGATCCTCAGATTGCAGCCTTTTGAGTAGTTAGGATTATAGGCATGAACCATCAGTTTATAAGCAACATGTTTCTGACACCTACCAGAGTTCACACACACACACACACACACACACACACACACACACACACACACACACCATTCATCTGTCTTCCCTTTGCCCCTCCACACGTCTGGGTCTGGGTACTCTGCCCTGCCTTCTGTTGCTGGCACCTGCCTGTAATACCATGTGACATCCCGATGTCCTTAGATGCCACCCTCCCTCGGAACCCCTGGCCTTCCTGTCCCACCACCTAGCTTTGGCTCGGCTCCAGTGTTCCCCAACACTGTGTGTGTGTGGGGGGAATGCATCAGCCCTTTCCTTCCCAGGAGCCCTGGTCCCCCAACGCAGTTCAGCCCCCCTTTTGCCCCTGGGAGGGCTCGTTGGCCCTTGTCCCCTGGCCCCCTTTCCATGCACGGGTTGCTCCGAACACCCACAATGCGCTCCCGCCCCACCCGCAGCCCCGGCCCCCGCCACGCCCCGCCACCTCGCTGC